AGCGACCCACGGTCGGCGCACCAGTGGCGATGGTACTAGCAGAAGCAGCGGTCCCGCGCTGGTATCGTTGACCGCTTAACGTCGCAACACGACCCAGTACCCGGATTGTGCGGGCCGCGCATCCTGAGCATATCGGAGGAGGTGGCGGGCCGCAGTCTGTGGCAAGACGGCACTACGCGCGTTGCCCTAGTGGCTGATGTCCACACTTGCGCGCGCGCGCTGGCGTTGCAGCGAGAACATGTCGGCGATGTCGCCGGGTGGCACGTGAATACACAACACTTGGTTCGTTCCTGCCAGTCGGCAAGGCTCCTGGCTGCCGAGTCGCGTCCCGCTCGTCGAAATTCACCAGCGACCCGTCATCTGACGACCATCTCGGCAGACGCTCGGCGTGGCTCCCTCGAACTCCGCTGATGCGCCGAACGCTGCAAGCGCGAGGTACAACTGCTCCCGGTCCGCGGCTGAGTTCGTGGGGCTGTTTGCTCGCCGCCCGGAATCATCAATCACCGTTACTCGTCTGCTGCCCACTCTGTTCTCACCCCGGGATGGGATAACAGGCGGCTGTAGCGCTGGACGGTACCTGTAAAGAAGTCCTGGGCATGCTTTACGACGCTCGGCTGCCTTCCTTTCCCGCTCGACACTTCTGTCTGGTTTTCTCTACTCTAGCAGCGCCTCGGCAATGTCACCTTGACCATTCCCGCGCGTGTTCCTGCATTTGTCTCAACCAGCGTGTTTCGACGCACTCGCAACGCCTACGATTCCTCCTCACCGGTCAGGCGAGCAAGTTCTCATCGATACCACCCCGCTCCTCTCGGCAGCGAGTCTCGCTGAGCACAATCTCGCCCTGGAATTCCCACAGCCGGGCCGAATCGTCCCTCACTGGTAGGTTCGGCTGCCTTCAGCTCCTTGCGGAACGCCATCGTACCGCTCCTCCCCTGGACCGTTGATGGCGTTTTTCCAGGCTTGCGACGGTGCTTCGTCACGGTTGTCGTTCAAGCGCCCCTCGCTCCTCGTCGCTCTGCGGCTGGTGGGTAGGCGGTCTCCGCCTCGTCACCTGCGAATGAGCTCGTCTGCGGCTAGCGCAATTTTACTCGGTCCTCAGAGTCCACCTGCACGTCGTGTCGAAGGGCCACGGTTTCCACTCTCTCACGAAACTGCCGGATGTCGAATTCGATTGCCGATACTCTCTCTCCGGTTTTCCCCGACCTGCTCCATCTTTACTCGCGTGGTTCACGTGGCCTAGAACTCCACAACGGTGTCTCGGCGTGAAGCTGGTGGGAGTCCGTGTTGTCCCAGCCACTCCACCAGTTGCTGCGGGCTGTCGAGAAACTGCCGTCGCCAGCGGTTGGGCGCCGCTGCGGTGTAGCACGACCGCGTGAGCGCATGTACCCCAGCAGCGTCCAGCAGCACCAGTCCACCAACGATTCCCAACACAAGCGGATCGCCTTCGGAAAAACCAGCCACGATCATCGCCACGCCCAGCACGGCTAGGACGGCAGGTAAAATCAGCGACTGACCGCTCGAGGATGCATCGCTTGACTCGTGCCCGGCGATCAGGGCATTCAGTTGACCCACCAGCGTCTCGCGGCTCTGGCGGGCCCGTTCGTATTCGTTCAGTCAGCCTGCGCGAGCGTTTACGACGCCGCTCGCCCCTTTCAGCGCGTTGCGTCCACTGCGTCGGTTATGCAGGCACGCGGTCCTGCGGCCTCCTTGGCGGCGGCCTGGCAGTCCGCGAGAGTCCTTTGCTCCTGTTCCAGCCGCTGTTCCGACCGGCGTAGGGTGTCTACGTGCTGGGCCTGCGTTTCCTTGCCGGACTCCACTTCCTGGCGCAGGGCCATCGAGGTGTCGAAGTCCCGGAGTTGCTCTTCGTCCCAGTCAGGCCCGAGGTCCCGGAGCCGTTCTGTCAGCTCGGACTCGAGAGCACCCAGCTCCGCCCTGCGTTCTGGCAGGTCTTTCACCGAGTCATCGAAGCCGCCGCGACCCCTGCGAATTGTCTCTATCTCGTTCCGGTCGTAAAGCAGGTCTTCGTATGGTACCGCGGCGGATGCGGCTTCCTCGGAGCGATGCAACTGAGCCTGCGCCTCGCCAAAATCCTCCCTTGACTGCCTCGCCAGCGCCTCAAGGCTTTCGAGCCGGGTGAGGGAGTCGTCGGGGAAGTTTTCGTACTCGGGCAAATCCCGCAGCTTCGCGTCGCAGGCCGAAAGCGCCAGCCAGTCTTCCCAGCCGTTTAGCAGCCGGTCAACCTCCGCCCGCTGCAATTCGAGACGGCCAATTTCGCGTTCGGCAGCGCCCAGTTCCGAGTCGATTTCGGAATTGCGGGCTGTCAGACTCCCGTAAATGGACGCGTTTTCCTCGATGACACGCAGCTGCCCGTCGACCCGTTCCATTTCCCGCAGAGACTCGGCGATTTTCTGCTGCTGGCCCGTGGGCAGGAACAGGTCGCGCTTGCCTTTGTTCAGGGCTTGAGACAGCTCGTGGAGCCGTGATACCCCCAGCCCAGCACCGTAAATACGGTTGGCGACCCCCGAATCATTCATCAGCCCCTCGTTCTGGAGTTCATCGAGGCTGAACGCAAAGACGTTGCGAAATAGGTCGGGGGTGGCGTTTCCGGTCATCCTGGGAAGAAAGGCGGCCGCGTCCAGCGTCTCGCCAGCGTCTGTGCGGACGGTCGCCGTGCCACCCCTGGGACCGGCGTACCTCTCCAGCGTGTAAACTTCGCCCGAGTCGTCGGCCAGCCTGATCCGACCTCCGTGGCGCCCGCCCGACAGGGGAGGGTAGTGTCTCCTGTGCTGAGCGTGGAAACCAAAGAGGATGGCCCGGATGAACGCCAATAGTGTGCTTTTGCCCGCTTCGTTGGGGCCGTAGAAGACGGTGACGGGCGTGGCGACGGGACCAATGGACTGCTCGTGGAAGTGCCCGAATCCGTCGAGGTATAGGTCTGTCAGCCTCACCCTTCGTCCTCGTCGTCAACCAGTTCCGACAGGCACTCCTCTTCGGCCAGGGCGATCAGGTCCCTAAGTTCGTCGTCGTCCGGCATCAGTTGCCTCAGGTAGTCGCGCGTCCGGGTCGACCCGTACAGCGGGCGTAGCAGCCCCCGCAACTCGGCCAGCTCGCCCGGGTCATCCCTGAGCGCCGCACTCAGCCGCGCCAGGTCGCCAACGAAGTCCTCCCGGTGAGCCACCTGCTCGAGGTCCACCTGCGACGCCGTTTCCAGCTCGACTCGTTCACACCACAGCCAGCCGCGGCCGTTCGAGTATCGTTCGTTGATGCGCTCCAGCAGGTCCTGCACTGTTTCCGGACGGCGAAGCCAGCGGTTCAGCGGCCCGCGCCCCATGAGCGTGAGGCGATAAACCACCGGCCGTCCCTCCGATGCCTCGGAACAGCCGGCCACGGCGTAGTCTATGGCGTCCAGCAACTCCTGCTCTGAGCCAAGTCCGGCAATGCCGATCTCCAGCATTTGCCACCGCACTGTATCCACTGCGCGGAAGTCGAGTCGGGCCGAGCCTTGGTCGTCAACCTCGACCAGGTAAACCCCCCGCGCTCCCGTCTCCCGCGGATTGCGCCCTTGGGAGTTCCCCGGGTACACCACCGTGGGCCTCTCCTGCCGCAGCACCTGCCTCGTGTGAACATGTCCCAGTGCCCAGTAGTCCATTCCCGTCTCAGCCAAGTCCGCCACCGAGCAGGGAGCGTACGAGTCGTGGTCGGGATTCCCACCCACGTTGGCGTGGAGCAGTCCCACTCCGTAGCCCTCGACGCGCTGTGGGCTGAAGAGCGGCGACAGGTTCTCGCGAACCTCCCGGGTCGGATAGCTGACACCGCAAACAGTCGCCCGCTCCGGGTCGTCGGGAAACACCGGCTCTGCGGAAACCTCCGGGCCGAACCGCACGCAGCCCAGCGGTAGGACCAGCCGCGCCTCCCAGCCGTCCAGCGGGTCATGGTTCCCGTGGCAGACGAACGAACGTATGCCCGCAGTTTCCAGCCGGTTCAGGCCGTCGACGAAACGCAACTGCGCCCGCAGGCTGCGCTCGGCCCCGTCATAGACATCGCCCGCCACCAGCAGCGCGTCCACTCGCTCCCTGAGGCACAGCTCAACGATGTTGTCGTATGCCTCAAAGGTGGCCCGGTGGAGCGCATCCGCGACGTCAGGTGGCGCCTCGCTGCGAATGCCGCGAAATGGGCTGTCCAGGTGCAGGTCTGCGGCGTGAACAAATCTCAGCCGGGCCATTTAATTCCCCACCCCATCCCTTGCGGACTCCGAACAGGACTGCGACCCGGACTACGGATCGTCGTCGCGCCACTCGAAGCTGAGGTTGGTGTACCGGACGAACACGCCGCCACCCGGCGCGCCCATGGGGCCGTTGGCCGCCAGTATGGCGATGGTGTGCTGGTCGCCGGGATTGGGGTTGTTGGCGACCTCGACACGTTGGGGTCGGTTGAAGCCTTCGAACGTGCCGCGCTCCCGGTTGCACTCACCGTTGACCCAGATCTCGCCGTAGTCGTCAACGCACGTCTCGAACATCATCCTTGTGCGGCTCGGATCGCGTCCACCGACGGTTTCCGGTATGGTGATCGTCATGCGGTACCAGACAAAGGAGAACCCGGTGACGTAGTCGCCGCCGAACCTCGCCCACGCGCTGGTATCGCCGCAGACCTCCCACGAGGAGTCATCGTAGTCCGGCAGGCGACACGCGCTCCCCGCGGAACGATTGGCGAGCCCATAGTTGGCCTCGCCCGGGACATAGCCCTCGGCATACTTCCATTGTCCCTTGACCGCCGCCTGTCCATCGGCGCTGTTGATGTCAATGGGGAATCGCGGCATATTTCCCTCCTCCTCTGGTTGTTTGCTCTAATTCGGTGATTCCCGTTCGCCCTGCATTCTTCGAATAGCGAACGGTTTGGCTTTGTAGTGCTACACGCCGGTGATCTTGACGCCCGAATGCGTCCGGTAGATGCGGTTGATGTTGACCAGTAGCGGGGTAATCTGCTCCACGTACTTGGCGTTGGCCAGCGCGCCCCAATCGTCCACGCCCCGCAGGCTCTTGATCTTGCCCGCCAGGCCGATCACCAGTTTCTTGGCGTCGGCGTGGTCCGAGCAGACCACCACGTCGCCCTCCATGTCCACCTGCGGGTCCTGCAGTTCCTCGGCGCTCACGTTCTGGAAGGCCGCGACCACCTGCGCATTGGGCAGGATCTCCTGCGCCTCCTGGGCGGCAGAACCTGCCTCAACCTCGACTGCCCGTGCTCCCTTGCCCCGCTCGAAGACCATCGGGGCGATGACACTCACCACGATCTTGCCGTCCAGGGAGGCTGACAGTTCCTCCAGCACCGGGCGCTGACCCTCGTAGGGAAATGCGAGAAACACCACGTCGCCCGCCGCGGCCGCCCCGGCGTTGTCGGTACCGGCGATGTTGGCCCCCGGAGCGCCCTCGGCCAGCTCGGCTGCGGCTGCGGCACCCCGCTCCGTGCTGCGTGAGCCAATGGTCACTGCCTCGCCGGCCAGTGCGAGCCTCAGCGCCAGCCCCTTGCCCTCCGGTCCGGTCCGGCCCAAGATCGCAAGCATTGCCCCTCCCGTAGTTTCGTAGTTCCTGATAACGAACCTACTATACAACACACCCCTTGCCAGTCCGCAACGGCCAACTGTCAGCAGAATTTCCCCGCCCGGCCCCGCCAACTCGCACTGCATCCCTTGGCTTGATATATAGAACAAATATACTATGGAAATATGTGTTCCCTGCAGAGAGTCAAATGCCCCGGACGAGTCCGGCGCCGTCCCCCGCGCGAAGGTATCGAAGCCGCAGCCGTCCGGACTCGGGGAAACCTGCCCTTCTTGGCTTGCCGGAGAGCCACCCGCCTCTAACCCTTCATTCCTGGGGAGCGATTCCTAATGAAAACGATGAACTGGCTTGTGCCCAACCCCACCCCAAAACGAGACAGAATGAGACACTTTTTTTAAAAATCAGCTTTGGGATGAGACACCCCATCCCCTCGATTGGGTAGCGCTGGAGCCCGCCTCCACAATGGAAGACCCCACCCCAGAACCAGACGAAATGAGACAGAATGAGACACTTTTTTAAGAAATCAGCTTTAGCGTGAGACACTCCATCCCCTCGATCGGGTAGCCTGGAGCCCGCCCCGCAGTGGAAAACCCCGGTCCAGAAGTTTGAACTCGGCACCCGAAAAAGGCGGGCTTCGTACCTAGGGCTATCGCATTTGAATGGCGGGTCGGTGCGCGGCCAACGGCGTTTCGCTGCTATGACGATGGCTGATTCCACTGCACTAGATTCACGGCCGCAACCGTCCCCAGCGTGTTTGACGAAACCGGCTCGTGATCAAATGATTTCGCTTTGAGACCGGCAGTCTCACCCCAACCAACCGGAGGTACTCTACTGCCATGGTTGAACCTCAGGCGGGCGGCCGCTATTGTCGGCGTCCACGAACATCAGACCCGCTACGCTCCGACAAGAGCGAACTCCCAGATCCAGGGCGAGAGCATCATCAAGGCCTCGAGACGCCGGACGTCAGAAGGATGTCGACGGCTGTTTACCGCGTCGATGTCGGTCACAACAGTCGGCCTGAATCTCGCCGATACCTGAACATGTAACGAAGCACGTCGACAACACCACGTCGGCGGGCTCTTCGAGTCCACCTCGCCCACGCCCTACGCCATCCACGCCGGTCGCATCATCGTTGCCGTCATCACCTACGCGACGCTGGCCCGCTCCGGTGGCGTCTCATGTGGGCACGGTGGCGTTGGGCGTTTCGGACACCCTCGCCTTGATCCGTCTCCCGACAGCTTTGAGGAGCTCTACGGCCTGACAACCGTGGGCCTCTACGCCATGATCGCCCAGCGCACATGCACCAGTTCGGCACCACCCCGGCGCATGCTCGCTGAGATCGCCGTGGCCGTACGCCACCACGCTTCCATGAACCCCGAGGCCCTGTTCCGCGACGAGATTACCGTCGAGGACGTGATGCGCTCCCGGGTCATCTCGTCGCCGCTGCACATACGACTGCTGCGTCATCACCGACGGCGGCGGCGGCTGGGGTAGTCGCATCTCCCGAGGTCGCGCCGAAACTGCCGCCAAACCCCGTCTGGGTGCTGGGTACCGGCGAGCGGGCCCACCCAGGGCGCCGGCAAAGCGCGACCTCATCTACATCGCCGCCAAGCAGAGCCACGAGCCCGCCTTCGCTGGCGCCGGAGTAACCCACGACGACATCGACATGGCCATGATCTACGACTCCTTCACCATCACCGTGCTGGAGACGCTGGAGGACCTCGGCTTCTGCGAGAAGGGCGAAGGCGGCCAGTTCGTCAGCGGCGGCGCACTCAAGATCGGCGGCAAGCTGCCCATCAACACCGACGGCGGTGGCCTATCCTCCAACACCCGGGGATGCGCGGCATCTTCCTGCTGATGGAGGCCACCCGCCAGCTCCGCCACCAGTTCGAGGGCACGCCGCGCCAGGTGCCCGACTGCAAGATAGCCCTGTGCCACGGTACCGGCGGCGCCCTCGGCTCCCGCCACAGCGGCGGCACCGTCATTTTGGGGAGGGACTAGTCATGCCGGAATGGAACAAGCCGCTGCCGACCGTGGTCGGCGAGACCCGCGCCTACTGGGATGCCTGCCGCCGTGGTCAGCTCCTGATCCAGCACTGCGACAAGTGCGACGAGTACCAGTTCTATCCCCGGGGCATCTGCTGCCCTGTTGGTCCGAGAACCCGACATGGGTGCAGTCCACTGGCAAGGGCACCGTCTGGACCTACACCGTCACCTACCAGAACCGCACCACCGGCTTCGACCAGGGCCCCTACGTCCTCGCCCTCGTCGAGCTGGAGGAGGGCGTCCGCATGTCACACACAATTAGTGGGCTGCGACCACGCGAAGTAGCATAGGAATGCCCGTCGAGGTAACCTTCGAGCGCGCCACCGACCAGATAAGCATCCCCTACTTCAAGCGAGCGTAGGGGACATATTCACCCGAGGATGCGGGGACGACGAGCGGACTCGGACCGGCATGGAAAAAGACACGGATTTAGATGCGGTAGGTTGCGGGTTGGTGCGTACCTTGTGCCGACCTTGCGTTTATTCTCTCGGATTGCTGTGGGTGTATGCGTGTGCAGTGGCGTCCAATGATCGCTGAAGTACTTAGTACTCGCGCCAAACCTGACTCGTCGCAACGCGCTGAGCGGCCTCGGCCAGGTCCACTGGTCGTTGGAAAAAATAGACGCGAGCGCTGCGCCCATAGTAGAGGCCGATGGTTGGAGCCCAGTCGAAGGCGCGGTCAAGTCGGCGCGATGGACTTCTCGAATCCCCAACCTCGTACCACGAGCAGCCCACGTTGTACCAGCCCATGCCGACCGCAATCTCGGGTCCATCTCGATGGAGGTGTAAGTCTGGATGGAGCGGTGATACACCCCGTTGCGCCCATAGCGACTGCCACGCTCTCCAGGAAAGCCCGCCGCGTCCGTAGCTCTCGCCTGTCTGCGCTGAAACACACATGACTACCGGATCAGCCGTGTCGACATCACCGACCGACAGGCCCGCGATCACCAGTATCGTAGTGCTATGTGATGTCCGTGATCGGTCCGAGCCAGAAGGCCACCAGGTTCGCCAGCTCACGGCTGACCGACGCGGCCCACAGAGCCGGTCGGCTGCGCGCAAGCAGCGCTCATCCACGCTGATGCCCAGTTCTTGGCGCGGAGTACATTGGACACATCGTTCGCTCAGGATGGAGCCGGGGCACACGTTGTCACCAGGATGCCATCGCGTCCCACCTCGTCGCAAGGCTCTTGAGTAGGCGCTACTACTCCCATTCGCGTCGCTCCGCGCGACAGTGCCAGGTTGGGGATGGGGTTGTAGACCGTGCTGGCGAGGATGTTGATGATGCGACCGCCGCCGCGCTGCTTGAGATGCGGGATGCCCTCGCGGCACATCCGCCCAAAAAGATGAGCGACCGCTGTACGGCTGTCTCCCACTGTTCCTCGGTGGCGGTGGCCGATCGCGCCAGCGGCGGCCGCCGGAGTTTTACCAGGATGTGATGCCGCCGAACTGCTCCAACGCCGCCGCGATCAGACCGTTGATGCTCTCCAGCCTGTCGAGGTCGGCAGGATATGCCAGCACCTCGGCACCGGTGGATTCCCGGATCTCGTCAGCCGCCTGCTCAAGGTCCGCGGCGGTGCGGCTGCAGATGGCGACCTTCGCGCCCTCCTCGGCCAACACCTGCGCGCAGGCCCGGCCCAGGCCCTTGCTGGCCCCGCCGATGATCGCCACCTTGTCCTTCAACCCAAGGTCCATACAAATGTCCTCGTCGTCCCCTTCGGGGACGGCCATTTGGCTCAACTCGCCCGTATTAATACCAGCCGTCACAGTCACAGACACCGCCGGTTGACCGTCCGACGCCTCTGACTCTACGCTTGCCTTGCTCGTGGTTCGCGACCAGAGCCGAACAGTCCCAGAACACGTCCGGAGGGTGATGGTTTCAGTCCCTTGATGACGCGCATAATCCGAAATAGAGCTTCAAGCGGTCAAGTTGCCCGCGGCGCCGGGGGCATCGGCGGGCCACTTCGGGCGCGCATCGAGGTCGAGTTCAAGGACGACAAGCAACGCGAACCGGTTGACCGCCGCCGACAAAGAGGCCCAGCATATCTCACTGCTGAGATCCTTCGACACTTCCCTGACCACGGCGTCCTCGGCGAGGGGGAAGAAACGGAGGAGGAAAAGCAGTCCGAGGAGCCGGCCCGCGAAACCCTGGGGTACTGGACCCCCTTGATGGCACGACCAACCCTCAATGGAAACTAACGGTGTTTGCCTCACCATCGGGTGTGATCCACCGCGGCAGGCCAGTGGCGGCAGCCCTGTACATTCCGTGGCCTGCAGATGGTGGGGGGTTGATCCTGCACTGCGCAAAGGAGGCGGCACAGATCGCGCCGCTGACTGCGGGCACAGGGGCGCGATGACGAGCCGGTCAAGGTCTGGATACGGAGCAACCCATCCCAATCGCCTGATCGGCCTTCCCGGATACTTCGGCGTCGCAACCGGTTCACGGCGGGCTGGCCAACAAGGCAGGCGAGTTGCGCACCACCGGCAGCATCGCCTATGAACTGGCGATGGACCGCCCGCGGGGTGATGCAGTATGGTGTCTTTGGCGCCCCTCGCATGTGGGACATGGCAGGCGGAGTGCGGCGGTGCAGGAAGCCGGTGGCACCGTGATGACCCGCTTCGAGGCGAGGCGCCAGTGGCACCCCATTCGAAGCTTCGTCCCCTCTTGGGACGAGAAGACCCCAAATTGAAGGAATGGCGTGCATGGGTGGCCCCCTTGGTCCCGGAAACACCACCCGCCCCCCTGATCGCCAACAACGTCGCCGCCGCGCTTAGCTTAAAGGCAAGCTACGGCCCTTGACGCGGATGCTGCGGAAGAGAAAAAAGGGACGCCCAACAATTGAGCTAGGGCATCGCTTTCAAGTAGCAGGCCTAAGGGTGGCATCGCTAGTCCCACCACTGCCCCTACGCCGAGTCTGGCTCCCAGCCCCACGGCCTCGGCCCCAGGCGGCCTCGAGACCTGGCCTTTTCTTGACCGACATTCCGGCGTCACCGCCTTGTCCGATTTGCGGGAGTCGCCGAGGACGTCGTACACCACCCGTCGCCGCTCCGGATATCGAGGATGGAGAGGTCAGCCTGCTTGCAGTGTGCAGAGTTCCGAGGCGGTCTTCCAGCCCCGGCTTCGCGGGTTTTTTGGTGCACATGTCACTACCTGGTCGAAGTTGAAACCCATCGTCAGGAATCGAGTCATCATCTCGTTCATGCTGTGCACCGTGCGGGCGCGTCCGGCAAGGTCAGGGTCGGTGCTGATGCGTGGGGCAGTACGCCTTGGTCGATCACCCGCTCGCCCACGTGAAAGCTGATGAAGTTAATCCGCCGTTGGCAGTGTCCAGCCCACACGCCCCGCTCGTGGGCCTCCGGGCCTCGGGCACCAGATTGCCATCGGCGTCGCCACCCCGCCGGGGTTGGCGTGAAGTAGTGGGTGAGACGATTGTCGCCCGCTCTTCCCGGATGGGCAGCGCAGCGCGCGGATCACGTTGGGTCGTAAGCGCTTCTCGAGTGTCGCGATGTGCACCCTCAAGGGACGCCGGCCTCTTGGCGCGCGCGCTGGTCAGCTGGGCATTTCCAGTGCCCATGATCTCGAGGGCAGGTGACACCATCCGCCTTGACGCCGGAGATGATGCCCTTGTTGGCGATGATGGTCTCGACTGTATGGTCCAGGTCGATGCTGGAGGCTGAATATGTGGTGTGGTGGCCAGCCGGTGCGAGCAGATGTCAGGAAGCAGATGATTCGGTTGTCGCTGTTGGCAGGATGTGGCGGGGAAGCCGCCGAAGGTATGTCGCAGCCGAGGTGCCGGCGTCTACCATGTGGAACCCCGGCGCGCACGCCGCGATAGTTGGCGTCCACCCCGCTGGCGTTTGACCCCGGCCGAAAACGTGGTGTGCAGGTCGATCAGGCCGGGTGTGTCACCACTTGCCCTGACCTCCACCACCTGCGCGGCCTCGGCGGCGCATGTCGGGGGCGACGCGCAATTTTGCCGTCCTCTATGGCAACGTCGTTGACGCCGTGAAGGCTCTGGGACGGGTCAACCACGGTTCCGCCTTTAATCAGCAGGTCGTACATGGTCGTTCGCTCCTTAAAGTTCGCGGAAATTACCTCGGAACGGGCGCACGGGTGTGCGCCCATACGGCTGCTTTCCGGCTATGTCAGGTGTGGAACAACTCACCTATGGATTGGCCGTAGTGGATGCGGTAAATTGCCTCTCCAAGGAGGGGGGCCAACGACACACGGTAACTTGCCGTTGCGCTTTCCAGGGCCGATGGGGATGGTGTCGGTCACCACTATCTCGGTGAAGGGCCTTTGCGCCATGGTCTCCGGCGCGTTGCGCGAGAGCACTGCGTGGGAGGCGCAGCAATACACCTCCTTGACGCCGTGATCCAGCAGGGATCTGGCGGCGTTAACCACAGTGCCGCCTGTATCAATTTCGTCGTCAAAGGTCAAGGCCACCTTGCCTTCCACCTCACCAATTACGTTCATCAGCTCGCTCTGACCGCTGTTGTCGGTGCGCCGCTTTTCGATAATGGCGAGAGGTGCCGAGAGCCGCTCGCAACGTCTCGGGCCTTCTTTGCTGATGCCGATGTCCACGGCACCACCACCAGGTCATCGATTTCCTTGTCGGCGAATACTGAGTGAGATGGGCCACGCGTCAGTTCGTCCACCGCATGTTGAAGAACACGACTGAGGAGCGTGCAGGTGACGGTGAGACCCGGTCGGCTCCTGCGGCGGTCAGAAGGTCGGCCACCAGCGGGCAGTAATGTACCGCGCTGGTCGTTTTTGTCGGTACGGCCGTATCGTAGTAAGGCATCACGGCGTTGATGCGCCCGGCGACGCCCGCTTGCAGGCATCGATCATATCAGCAGTTCCATGATGTTGTCGTTGCGGACGGAGCGCAGGTGGCTGGACTATGAAAACGTCGCGCTGCCGGACGTTTTCCAGGATACGCACCGAAGGTGTTGTCGTTGGCGAATTGAAGACCTCGGCCTGCCCACAGCGTTCACGAGGTATTCGCAGACGGAACGGTCAGCCTCGGGGTGGGAATTGCCTGAAAACACCACCAGGTCGTCGGAATGACTGACCATTCGCCTCTGGAAAGCGGGCGGATTGCCAGTACGGAAGGGGCCGTCTGTGCGCGAGAGCCGTTGCTGCGGAAAACGGCCGGAGAGGCGAAAGATTGCGCGCCGAGTATCGCACAGAGGCCAGCCACGAGGGCGGCCAATGAGACTGGAAAACGGCTTGCTGATGCTATTATATTCTAGGGGCCGCATCGGCTGCCGCTGGTTTGTCAACCGTCTTGCATGCAATTGACACATTGTTTCTGATCAGGGAGGGACAGGTTTGGAGGTTCTGCTCAGTTACGCCACAGATGGGTTCCTGCGCTGGAGATGGTGCGGGCCATCGACACGTGGTGGTGGATGTCTGCCTGCGACGCTACGGCCCGCCGGTCTACGTAAGCTGTTTCACAGATGTCCACAACCGTACGTAGTCACATGACCATGGAGTCCGCGGTCCGCCATACGTGGAAGAGGTGGATGAGGTGCCCGAGGGATCACTGGTGGTTTCTCAGCTCACGGCTCGACCCCTGAGGACTGTGAACCGGCCAAAGCCCGCAACCTCGCGTCTTATCGACGCGTTGTCCTTGCGTCACCCGCGTCACAACGAACAGCCAAGAAGTACAGACGCGCGAGGGCGTCGGGTTCTCCTGTGGGCACAGTGGCCACCAGAGTTGCGCGGCACGATGGGCCAGAGTGGAGTATGACACTGCGTAGACGACACACAGTGCAAAAAGCGAACTGCCCGCGTGTGACGGCGAGGAGATTGCCGTCTGACGCAAACCAACTCTCTCGGTTCGCGACACCGCAACGCCATCGACTCCATCAAGGCTCGCTTTCCGCAAGCACTGGTGCGCAACGACTCTTCTACGCCACCACCAACCGCCAGGAGGCGTTGACCAAGATGGCGCAACGGGATTGGTGCTGGTCATTGGGGCCCAGAACAGCTCCAACTGCAAACCGGCTGCGGGAAGTGGCCGCCGCGCAGGTGTGCCGGCTTATCTGATCAACGGACCCGGGAAATCGATCCGAGTGGATGGAAGGCAAAGAGAAGGTCGGCGTTGGGCGCGCTGATCTTTGCTGTCAGGCCTGTTTTCGTCAGCGCCAGCTGTAAAGCGAACGGCTGCACGATCAAGTCCTGATACAATCCGCTCAATCGGGGCGCTGTCAAAATGACGATGCTCTAACTGCCAGCTTTTACGAGCCTCGCCACTGGGTGGGACTGCGATACCGCATTTCGCGGGCACACCCTCGGGAAGGCGCACGGAGTGGGAGGTGCAGCCTGCGCTTTACCATCCGCGCCCTGCTGACTGATACCGCCAAGGCGATCTGGACTTCCCTACCCTGGATATTCGTTACCGGAAGAACGGACAAACGTACGAGCGAAACGAGGAGTTCAGGCTTTTCGTGGAACACTCCGGAAGGCGGACACTTCCCCTCCTGTGTTTCGAGCCCGACGGCACTCCCGCCACCGTCGCTTCCCGCTGCTGCATGGGTTGCTGGAGCGGGTGCCCAGTCTTCACTGGGACGTCTCGCTGACCCTCTACCACTCGCTGCCGACGGGACGCGCATGAGCTCTGTCGCTGCCTCGCGAGGGAGAGGCCCTCGTGCAGTATGCGAAAGTCGTCTCCGTATGGGCATTTCCACGTCGAATTGGCCGGGCCAGCTTGAGCGCCGCCTCCGCGGCATTTACTCCTTCGGCCACATTGTCCATGAGGCACGGATCTGCGGCCACGAGCTCCCTAAAGCCAGTTGCTCCCCTACGTAGCGATTGCGACTCAGGCGGCTGGCGCAGGTGGTATGACGTCGCCAGGCCAGCCAGCCCTGCAAAGGTAGTGGCTGCGCCCCGGCTGCAACTCCCAGCCGAGCGATCTCGGCCAGTCCACGTGTTTACAAATGCGGCCTTTGCGTTGTCCCCGAAATCCAGGCCGTCGCAATGCCCGCCCCAAGGGCCACAATGTTCTTTCAGCGCGCCCCCCAACTCCACACCGACCAGGTCGTCGCTGTGTATACGCGGAGCGGCTGGACAGCAGGGCTGACTGCGCCTGCTCCGCTGCATCCTGATATTCCGATGCCACAACGGTAGTGCCAGCTTACCCTGAGCAATTTCCTTGGCAAGATGGGCCCGGAAAGGGAGCAGATACGGGATCGCACGGAGGCAGGCAATTCTTCCGCCAGCACCTGGCTCATGCGCAGGGCGGTGGGCGCTCCAGGCCTTCGTCGCGTTGACGACCACTGTTCCCGCGGGGCCAAGTGGGCGCTGCAATACGGCGCGCATTCTCCCGCAGCCGGTCTGATGGCAGCGATTCACAACCATTGCGGCGTCAGCCAGCGCTTGGGACGGGTCGTCGGCAACTCCCAGTGTATCTGGGACTTGATGCCGGGAAGGAACCGGGAATCTCCGGGGCCAACGGCAGGCTTCCGTTTCAGCTGCGTTGCGGGTCAGCAGCGTACAGGAGTCCCCTCGCCGGCCATAACCAGCCCAACGTAGTACCCACGTTGTCGTCCGACCACGACCACTCGTTAGTCAAAGATACCCGCCGCAAGGGAGAATGCAAAGGAAGCATACCAATAAGCTGCCGGAATGTGGCCGGAATGAAGGGAACGATAGACGTGAAAGTTATTCCAGCGGAGTGGCCGGAGCGCCCATACGCGTTCTTTGCCGTGAATTAGGCCGCTGGATGTTGTCGCGGTGCTGCCAGATTGATCATGATGGCAGCGACACGGCGAAGAGTATGTATTGCTCGAATACCACCACCAGCGCCAGCCCGATGATAAGTGGCCGCGCCCGAGCACGCCAACGATAGACCCCAGCGAAATGTAGCGGCTTCCCGAAGACAGTCAACAGGAAGATACCGTTGCCACCACAGCGGGCACGGGGTTCATCATCGACAGCCCGCCCAGAGCGGTGAGAATTCCCCGGCCCCCGGAACCCGAGGACACCGGCCAGTTGTGACCCACCAGCGCAATCATCGCGGCCACAACCTCTCCTCGTGTGTTCCAACAAGCTCACGGGCAAAAATGACGCACAACTACCCCTTGCCAACGTCCAGTGCCAGCACTACGGCGGCCGCTTTGCCACCGCCCGTGCTGAGAACGTTGGACATCCGGTGCGGCCACTGCCAAGTCCCGGACGTCCATGCCAACCGCCAGCGCAGCAGCATATAACCCCACGACAGCGACCCGTAAGGTAGGCAAAGGCAACCACTGCAACGTATTGCCATGGCCGAGGGAACATCTGTCAGGTATAGGGCCCCCAATGCACCGGCAGCCGCAAGCAGGGGGATCGCCGTGATCTGATAATCAGCGAAGTGTGAAGCTGCTTCATTCTCTGCGAAATACCAGCCTCAGATGAGTGCGATCAAAGCAAAGGCATCCCGGATGCGTTCTCAAGGTAGCGCTTATAGTGTAGTGTATCAACCTGGGACGTTGACGGTGAACAGGAATGTGGGGGGTTTATCCCGACTTGGCGTATGCGTTGATTCCGCGCGTGCCCCCCCTGTTTCGCTTGACCAAAAGGGGTTGTGCTCTGACATCGCGTCGGCGAGCATGACTGGAGGTCGCGGTTGGCCACAATGCGTCGGCGTTCGTCCCAGAGATCCATCGCCGTGTCCATCAGGCCTCCGACCTCGCCGCAGCAGGGCAGATGTGAAGCACCCGTAACGTATGACATAAGTGCAGACGTTCCCCGCACCTCCGCTTCGCCTCGGCCCGAGCATAGCGGTCTGATCCTCCCGAAGGTCCCATTTGTTGACCACCACGATTACCGCGCCCCATCTCCCAGCCATCCCGCTATTGAGTGTCCTGCGCTGTGGCCAGTTCCGTGGCGCCCCTACTATAAGGGAGATGTCGCTGCGATCGACCCTTCCGACGCGCGTATCATACACTGTACTTCTCGATGCCGCGTTCCACCTGCCCGCGACGTCGCATTCCTGCCGTATCGATCGCCACTATCTCGCGAGCCCGGTAGGTGAACTGCGTGTCGATGGCATCTCGGGTCGTACCGGCGATCGGGCTGACGATTGACGTTCCTGTCCCAGGATGGCGTTCAGTATGGCTGACTTACCCAATTGGTACGACCAACAATTGCCAGTTCAATTCGGCTGCGGGGAGCGTCCTCCAGCTCATTCAGGGCCGGTGGTTCGTCCTCTTCTCCGAATTCGTCCACTCGTCTACGATCCCGTCGTCCTGAGTCTCGATGGGTGGCAGATGGGACAGGACTCGTTGCATTAGTTCGTATATGCCGTAGTTTGATTAGCACTTACCGGTGACGGGTCGCCCATTCCCAGTTGGTAGAATTCCGGAGTATTGTTCCCGGTTGTCGTTATCGACCTTGTTTACTGCAAGCACCACAGGCTTTCCAGTGGTCCTCAGGCGGTTGGCCGCAATGGCATCATGGGTGTTACGCCTCGGCACTCGGTCATCAGGATGATCACATCGGCGTCGGACATGGCCATTTCTGCCTGTTCCTGCACCTTTGACCTAATGGCACCTCCGGGTCGGTTTCCAGCCCCCGGTGTCAACAGAATGATCGTCTGCCCTCCCAGTCAGTGTCCGCCATTAGACGGTCGCGGGTTGGTTCCGGCCACGTCGGACACGATGGCGTGCCTCCAGCCGACATCCGGTTGAAAGGAGACGATTTTCCTACTTTGGGCGCCCGACTATGGCTATGATTGGTAGTGGCATTGGCTTTCAGTCATGACTCACACAGGGTGGGGAAATGAGAGGCGTCCTATTGCTACGAAAGAAGTGTTTCCTATTGATCAGGTGACTAAAGAAGTTAGTAATCTCCAGCAGAAACTCAAGAAGAAACTGCTTACTGGGCGTGGAGGGTCGGTGTGAGCACTGTGGGTAGGCCACACCGACTGCGGATGTCGCCAGCATGCGGCGTACCTCCGCGCCTGTAGTGAGCGGCCTGATCGTGTCATCATGAACCGGGCGCCGGCCGGAGCTTGTGTGCCATCAGAGCAGGATCTACGTGTAGCCGCGCGACCTCCAACGACTTCGCGGCTACTCGCTGCACCGCCTCTGCCCCGTCCTGCCCCAGATGCTGGCCCAGACGTCCGTGTAGACATATCAAGCATCGATGCGACCGCTCCTCCACCGGCGAGCGTCAAGGTTGGTGCGAACTGCTCCACTGCCGTCCCGTCGGCTGCTGCCCTGATTCCCATCGTCGAGGTCGATCCCACTGGCGGCGCAGTTGAAATTCATGCCAACTGCGGGAGTGCCAGCACAGGCTTCACTGGCAACGTTGTTTCCCATCGCCGCGACCGCGATGTAGGCCAGGGTCCGCCCATCGAGTCCACCTTATGTCGTGAAGGTCAATAGGTCGGCATGGCCTGGCAACTGTGCTCCCGAGCTCAGACAGCGCTGTTGATGACCGCGGCCCGATGCGTACGTGGCCAGTTCTTGCAGTCCTCATGGCGAAAAGAAACTCGCGCAGACGATGCAATCCACATAACCTGAGAGCACTACGGCCACGTCGGAGACCGGCTCACCTGACGCCCACACACCGACCTCCCCGCCACCATGTATAATGCGACTAGTACAGATCACCCAACATGCTCGACACTGTCCCGCCACCTGAAGCTGTACTTGGTTTGCCGGCGAGGGCTTCTCAAACACAGGGCCACGACTTGCAGCCGCTGCGCCCCACGACGCGATTTTCCTTTTTACCCTTGAGCGGCGTCTTCAATGAGGCGGCGGGTCTCGTCTGATAGGTCAGTGACTGAAATAGACACTCAGCCCGTAGGTTGACACTGAACGCTTACCTGTCCTAACCTGATGTTATTACTCCACAAACCCTTCATGGCTTCACCCAACCGGGCAAGGGCCAGTGGTCAGGTGCATCCGAATGTCGAAGGCCCCTTGAAAGCTTACTCTGGGCATATCAGGCAAGTCAAAACACGTAGTCAGAGTGCGAGATCCATATGGGTGGTTGTCGCCCGGGCCCGGCGCCTTGAGGCTAATGTTAGCCGGCCAGTGGACAATCCACAAGCGGTACACCAAGACAGATGGCAGATGCATGTTGATATTCCTGTGCCTCAAGGTTGTCCTCGGGATGCAGGGCAAAAATTTCAGTTTCCCGTCCGATTGCGTCATTTGGTTGACCGTGCGGGCGTGGGAGTGAGCCGCGGCGGGGAGGGACGCGGCACGGTAGATACGGTCGAGCCGGTTGGCTGTGAGATGGCGCACACTACATGGCATTCAGAGTAGGAGGCTGTTACAAGGCTGTGGCAAGGGCGAAGTTAAAAATTAAAAACCGGATTGGGTTCTAATGCGAGCGTCGAGGACTTCGTTTGAACACAGGCGCGGACTGACCTGTATAGCTGGTAGAGCATAGCAATTGTGCGATCGCCCATGCCAGCACATGAATGAATGACTCAGACTATGGTGGAGCAAGGTGACTATCGGGATCGGCCGGACACTATCTAAACATTATTTACTACAAAGTTGCTTTCAGGCTGCACCAGACGAAAGGGATTGCGGGTAAGGACGATGCAAGCCGTTGCTGGTATCTTGCCGTTATCGCCCCCCTACACTCATGATGTCGCCGAGTTCCGCGACCTGTCTTACCCGGCTTACAGGGCCGAATTACGCGCTTTGCGAGTGCATCTCCTTTCTTTGCAGGAATGGGTGATTGAAAACGACAAGCGGTTGGTTATAGTTCTGGAGGGACGGGATGCTGCCGGGAAGGGCAAGCTGTCAGCGGGTATTACACATTATCTGAATCCCAGGCATGCCAGGATTGTCGCCCAGGGCACGCCCTCACCCCAGGCTATGCGCACTGGCTTGGGCGGCACTACAGATGATGCCTGACAAGGGCAGCATCGTCGTTTTTGACCGGCCCTGGTACTCCCGCGCAATGATCCAGCCTGCGATGGGCTACTGCACAATGCGGCAGTATCACTATTTTATGGGTCGAGTTAATGAGTGGGAAAAGTCCTTGGTCGATGAAGGAATCACACTCATCAAGGTTTATCTCTCTGTTTCCCAAGAGGCCCAGACCTGCGGTTCCAGCTCCGCAGCATCAGCGATTTGACATATTGGAAGTACTCAGCCAATGATCGATGGCTGCTGAGCGTTGGCAACTGCTGACCTATTTCAAGGAGCGAATGTTTTCAGTAACCTCCACTGAGCATGCGCCTTGGTTCATTATCGACTCCGACAACAAGCAGCAGGCATTGCTGAACGCGATCCATTGCGTGCTCGTGCAGTTCGGGTATGAAGACAGCGGGCTGATTCATCCGTCATTGCAGGCAGAATCAGAAGATCAGCAGGATTCTGGACTGCTGGCGATGGGGTTCTCTTCACAGGGGCTGAATAGAGAACAGGTGGCGATATTGGAGCGATTAGAATACATGAATAGAGATGAGCTGCCCCAGATGAAAGCAGGCCGGGGCTTGGTCCTGTCCGGCGGCCATGGATTGCTGATTAGAAAACACCATCTGTGGGACCTGCCCAAGGGAAAGCTTTCCGGTGACGAGAAACCGGAGCGATGTGCGGTGAGGGAAATCTCTGAGGAGACGGGCCTGCAGCCCAGGCTTCTCTCTATCCGTGCACCTATTTGCCGCTCCACCTACATTTCCTATTACTCCTATGGCCCCGTCAACAAGACTGTAGACTGGTATTTCCTCGACTATGCAGGGGAGATTTCGGACCCGCTGACTCCGCAATTTGAGGAGGACATTGACCTGTGTCAGTGGGTTGCTTACGAAGACCTCCTCAAGGCCTCTCAGGGGGCCCGCAGCTACTTGAGGCCTGTATGGCGCGCCATCAAGATGGCCCTGTGTCCCTCGGTCGCTGGAAATCCCGTGGCGTAGAGTCCCTGGTCCGGCAAATTGTCGGAACCGGCTGCCCACTTTCTATACACACCTGTCTTCGGCGAGTGCCGTTCAGCCTGCAGCCGCGACTCAGAGCGTTCCTGAAATCTCGGTCTTGCCCAGAAAGCCCTTGGTGCGGCAGCGACCTTGCGCCTGATCCAGCTACGTCTCCCCCATTGCAGTGTGCGTCTGCTATCATAGTGCATCGGGTTGCGATGGACTTCCGACAAATTGGACGAAGACGAGGCTAGAGAACATGCCAGGTCCAGACTTAAAGGCCGGACTTCAGGGCCGTATGGAAACGGTGGTGAGCGAAGCCAACGTCGCGCCCCACGTACCCAAATTCAGTACCCCCTCGATGATTCAGCTGATGGAACAGGCCTCGATGGACAGTGTGGTGGCCCACCTGTTGCCCGGGGAGACCACTGTAGGGTTTGAAGTGAACGTGCGGCATCTGGCTCCGGCCGACATAGGTGATACCATCGTTGCCAGCGCCCAGCTTACCGAGGTTGATCGCAACCGGCTCACGTTCAGAGTTGAGGCGCACCACGGGGACCGGAAGATTGGTGAGGGCACCCACCGGCGGGCCGTCATACAGACGCCAACCTGAAGACCGGCGTCGGTTAACAACGGATAGCGGTACCCGATCCCCGTCAGGTGAGTTCGCCTCTTCCTTTTGTGCTAAAATCCCGTTCGCACCTTCATTGTTCCGGCGTCACTTTGGGCCGGACAGTTGGCGTCGACAACCATGGTTCCAGATATCCATTAATGTTGTCCAGGAGCACCGATTATGGCCAACATGGAGCATGTTCAACTGGTACGGCGAGGGCGTGACCATGTCGCTCGCTGGAGAGAAGCCAATCCCACGGAGCCGCTCGACCTGAATGCCGCCTACATGAGTTACGTCAGGGCCCCTCAGGTAAATATCAGCGGTGCTGACCTTCGTAATTCGGATTTGATGGGTGCCGTCATGCGGCGGGCCAACCTGTCCGGGTGCTTCCTCAACCCCAGCCACCTCTACCACGCAGACCTTCGGGAGGCCAATCTCTCCGCTGCCCTCTTCAATGGCTCCAATATGCGAGGTGTCGATCTGCGGGGTGCCGACCTGACGGGCGCCGATCTGGATCGCACTATTCTTTCGGACGCCAACCTGTCGGGCGCCAATCTCACCAACGCGAACTTACAGCGTGCCAGTCTTATCGGGGCGAACCTCTCCGGAGCCAACTTGACGGGAGCGAATTTCTCCGGTGCAAATATAGTACGCACCAACATGAGCGAAGCCATCCTGAATGGTGCTGATCTGTTCCAGACTCAGATTTGGGGCTGCGACGTATCTGGCACAGACTTCACAAGTGCTTCTCTCGGCTACACAGTAGTGCAGGATTGTGATCTGAGAGAGGCCATCGGTCTGGACCAAGCCCGCCATGATGCGCCAAGCAGCATTGGCGTGGATACGGTTTACCGCTCCGGTGGGCTGATCCCAACCATTTTCCTTGCAGGAGCCGGTGTTCCGGCAACGCTTGCCTCGTTTCAGGAGGCCATTGCTGCTGAGCCACTGCAATTGTCTGAGTACTACATTTCTTGCCGGGACGATGATGAGGAGTTTGCCCAGAAGCTGAGCGATGACTTGGGTGCGCTGGGCGTGAAGGCCTGGGTGTTCTCACAGCATGCGCGCGGCAACGCCCTGGTTTCCCGGCTGAGTTCGTCGGACCAAGAGGAAATCGAGCGCTGGCTGCGTAACTACGACAAGATGATCGTAGTCGCCTCTTCCCGAGCTCTGGACACGGAATTGATCCTCAACGATATTACGGCGGCTCGCGATAAGCAGCAATCGGCAGACCGCTGGCTGCTCTTCTTTGTCGCCCCCGACAACGGCCTGATGCGTCCCGGCGGACGCGCCGCGCGCACCTTGGCCGCAGAGAACGTCATCTTTGACTTGCGCCCCGAGGACTCCGCCACATACGAGGCCGAAGTGGCAAAGCTGGCCAACGCACTCAAGCAGGACCAACCCGCCAGCGCCGGTGTGCCTGCGGTGGATTTCCAACTGTAGACCTTAAGTCACCGCAGGGACATGGAACTGGATAGGGGAGGGCGTCGAGCCCTCCCCTTTAGTCTGCCCGGCGCAGCGCTTGGCTGGTGCTTGAGACGCTATTAGGGCAGAGAGTGGGGCCGGCAATTTGCCGGCCCCTTTGGTTCCGCGGGTAACGATACAGGAGGGCTAGATGTAGTCTTCTTCCTGCATCATGTCGATGTTGTCGCGGGACTGCTGCAGGCCGCGAGCGACCTCACCACGAAGCTCTTCAATCATATCGTCGGTGATGACGCCGCCATTGTCCGTGGCCTCCTGGCGGAAGTTGTCGAAAGGGGAGGGCGCGACGCCCTCCCCTTTAGTCTGCCCGGCGCAGCGCTTGGCTGGTGCATGAGACGCTGTTGGGGAAAAGAGTGGGGCCGGCAAATTGCCGGCCCCTTTGGTTCCGCGGGTAACGATACAGGAGTGAGGGCTAGATGTAGTCTTCTTCCTGCATCATGTCGATGTTGTCGCGGGACTGCTGCAGGCCGCGAGCGACCTCACCACGAAGCTGTCGATCATATCGTCGGTGATGACGCCGCCATTGTCCGTGGCCTTCTGGCGGAAGTTGTCGAAGGCGAACTCCTCGGTGTCGCCGTGAGGCATGGCCGAGAAGAACTCGCGCTCGAATACCGGCAGTTCACCGGGGCCGAAGTAGCCCTTGCCCTCGAGCTCGTAGCCCTCGAGGTCGTGGGTGCCCTTGCCCAGAACCTGACCGGTGGCGGCATAATGTTCCATTACGGTGGACATGCCGTACTTCTGGATGGGGCAAACCTTCATGCAGATACCGCAGCCCAGGTAGCGGGCCATGACGGGGCGGCAGCGCTTGAAGTAGAGCTTGTTCTTCTCAATTCCCCGCCACCAGATCTTGTCGCGCATCAGGGCGCGGCCGGGGCAGCGGTTCACGCAGACCTGGCAGACCTGACAGAAGGCGTGGATGCCGTAGTCCACCGGCTCGTCGTGGGTGACGTTGGCGTCGGTGGTGATGATCATGATGCGGCAGCGGGAGCCGACATGCGGGGTCAGCAGGTAGCCGCAGGCGCCAAGGGAGCCGAGACCGGCAGCGACGAACATCGGAATGTAGGGACCGGTGTTGTCGTTGGGGCTGTGGACCTGCGCCCGGTAGCCGAGGCTCTGGACGAACTTGGCCAGTTCCAGACCGGCCGCGCCCTCGGTGCGGTAGGTGCTGGAGTGCACGATCTCAGCGTCGATGCTGGGGATCGTCTGGGTGGGCTCGAAATCCTGTTCGTAGGCCAGACAAATGGCATGCGGGAACTTGACCCAGTCCTTCTTGCTCTGGTAGGTGTACCGGTGGTCATAGGCAGTCATGCCGACTTCGATGTAACCCAGTTCGCGGGCCTTGGGTCTTGATGGCCTCGGTTACGTCTTCGCCGGTGGGCTCAGCCGTGGGCTCCTGGTCGCCAGTCATGCGGGCAGCCAGAATCAGCGGCTGGTTCAGGCGGTCGTGCTCCTTGCGGATCTCACGCATCTCGACGTGACTGTCGCGTATGGCGTTGGCCCAGTCTCGAGAAGCCCGCTCAGTGATGTTCATGGTCTCTATGGGATATTCCCTGGCGTACCAGTCAACCTCGCGGCTGGTGAGAGGAATTCCCGGGCACGGATTCCAGTTCTTCGGGGACCTGGATCGTGACGGACTCTTCACCCAGGTACTTGCCAGGCCGAACGACCTCATGGCCTATCTTTAGCATACCTTCCCTCCAAAATATGTTACGCCGGGCAACGCGGGGGTTTGCCTTATGCGCAACGATAACTCTGACCCAAATTGCTTGTCAAGCCTTATGACACATGGATTTTCATATTCGATTGTGCCATATAGATTAGTTACAGAAGGGGTGCGTGACGATTTATTCTCCAATCGGTCTGAATTGTTTCCTGAAGTCGTATAGTTCCAGTGGTCTTCACATCGCCCAATCCAGTCAGCCGCCGGTACGCCGGGCTATCATCGCCGTTGCGAGCGGACTGGCGCCGGATCGGACGGAAATGTCTACCAAAGATGGTTGTCCAGAAGCCAGGGCCCTTCCCACTGCGTCGCCCACATCGTTGGGGTTTTCCACGTGTTCGGTGTAGCCACCGATGGCCCCGACGACCTGGTCGTAGCGGATGTGCCGCAGGTCGGTGCCAACGGCACGGCCGTAGTATGCGACCTGGAAGGTCTTGTCGATGCCCCATGTGGAGTCGTTGCCCAGCACCGTGGTAATGGGCAGATTGTGCCGGATGCAGGTGTCGTACTCCATGGTGTAGAAACCGAACGCCCCGTCGCCGATGAAAACCAGCACCTTGGCGTTGGGATTGGCCAGCTTTGCAGCCATGCCATAGGGGATGCCCGCGCCCAGGTGGCTGAGGGGGCCCAGCCGCATGAAGTGCCCCGGTTTCCGTGCCTTCATGTAGGCGCGGCCCCACTGCACGTAATCTCCGCCGTCGAAAATGATGACGGAGTCTTCGTCGAGGTGCTTTTCAAGTCCGGTGTAGACGTCCAGGGGATGCATCGGTGATTCGCCGGTGGCCTTGCTACGCAATTCCTCATCCCAAGCATCGCGATCCTGCCTCAATTGTTCCACCCACGCTGTCTTGGACTCGCTGGACGCTGCCGGGGAGGACAACGCGGAGGTGAGCTGATCGACCACCGCACCAAGGTCGCCCTGGATCCCCACGGCCACTCCCCGGTTGCGTCCGATCTCTGCAGCTGACGCGTCAACCTGGATCAGGGCTGGCATTGTCGGAAAAGACGCCGCCGTACCGGTAGCGATGGTCCAGCCGCTTGCCCAGCAGCAGCACGACATCGGCCTCCCGGAAGCGACGGGCCGTGGGGTTGAGCGCGCCGTCGGCATAACCGAAACACAGCGGGTGTTCGTCATCCAGCAAGCCTCGCGCCTGCTCAACGGTGAATACCGGGATGCCGGTGGCTTCGGCCAGCTTTTCCAGTTGCTCCGGGGCCACCGAATACCGGGCGGGGTTTCCGGCAATGATTACCGGGCGACGGGCACCCCGCAGCAGCGCAGCTGCCTCTTCTATAAGGGTAGGGTCGCCCTGGGGCCGGCCCATCGGCCGGTATTCTTGCGGCAGGTACTGGGGCAGATCGTCCTCGCTGATGTCGGCATCCTGCAGGTCGATGGGAAGCGTGAGGTGCACGGGTCCCGGGCGACCAGTTGTTGCAGTGCGAAAGGCGGTCGCCACGTACTCGGGGATGCGGGTCTTGTCGTGGATCAGCCATGAACCCTTGGTGACAGGGGCGGCCATGCTGACCTGGTCGATCTCCTGGAAGGCTGCCATTCCCTTCTCGGGCAGCTCCGCGCAACCTGCCACGAATACAACCGGACTCTCCGAGGTGTAGATTGCTGGCAGCGCCGAGATGGCGTTGGAGAAACCGGGTCCACCGGTAAATATGCCCACTGCCGGCTTGCCGGTGATGCGGGCGTAGCCGTCGGCCATGTGCAGGGCCGCGCCCTCGTGCCGGGTGTCTATGAACCTGATCCCTTCGTCCTCGGCCGCGTCGACCAGCGGGCAGGATGGTGTCCCCCACAATGGTGAACACCGTATCGATGCCTTCCTGCTTCAGGCATCGGATGAAAAGGTGCCCCCCGGTAAGTCTAGCCATGGTTCCTCCTGGACCAACGTTGCGGAGAGCGTGAATTGCCTCTCAAGAGCGGGGCGGAGCTCTCCAGAAAGAGTCGTCGGGAATTATCCAACCCGCGCATGATATACGATAGGGTTCGCGATGCAAGGCGGGATCCGGGTTGGTACAGAGTCTTTCAATTCTCTTTCTTCCATTATGAGGAAGGGATGCGGTGGGAGAGAAATCGCAGGCATGAACTCATTGAATTCGACGGGAGGCACGACCCCACACGCCTACCTGACTGCGCAGGGACTTTGACTTTCGTCGCGTGACGAGTGCAGAGGGGAATGTGCCCGGGAGGTGGCTGAATCGCTGCCAAATCAAGGGAGGCGGAGTGTCTCGCGCCAAAACTGAATACTTTTTAGTGTCTCATTCTGTCTCATTTGGTCTCATTTTCGGTGGGGTTTGGGGGCAGGCCCGCTCCCGGTATTCACGGGGGAATGCCCCGCTGAGACGACTGGTCAGAGCCGAGTGTTCTTGTAACCTGACGGGTGGCCGGGGTGGGAAAATTCTTGATTTTTCCGGCCACTTTCGGTCATTGGCCTCCAGTACCAGCAGAGCGACGTGTTTTCTGGATATTGCCCAGCTCCAGCTTCGATGCCGGCGCAGTATGGGCAGCTAATACCGGCCCCTGAACGCATCGGAACCAAGGTCTGCCACTACCGAGTGACGCGAATGTCGGAGGTCGGACATGTGACATGGGTGCACTCGGCTTGACGTTCGCAATGCCAGGACCGCGGAGTTTTGAGTCCGCTGTATTAGATGGTAGAGATGTGTCATGAGACTTGGCAAGGGGCAACTGTCAGTAAATTTCCCGGCCTTTATCCTCATCATAGAGATATCCGAAGGCTTGTTCACAGAGCTCGAAAGTTGATGCCAATACATGGAGCCGGGGCACCTGGGGAGGGTAGGCGCTTAGTAGAACATTCGCGTCAGCGTGGCGGGAGAGGCATTGAATCCAAGGAATGACAGGGGCGGCACCCTTTACGTCGTGGGCACGCCCATCGGCAACCTTGAAGACTTGTCGCCAAGGGCGGCACGGGTGTTTCGCGAGGTCGCGTTGGTGGCCGCCGAGGACACCAGGGTTACCAGGCGTCTGCTGAACCACCTGGGCGCGCGTCCGCGGCTGCTCAGCTTCAACGAGCACAACTGGCGGGAGCGACTTGAGCCAGTTTTTCGGGCGCTGGAGGAAGGCGACGTTGCGTTGGTATCGGACGCCGGCATGCCTGGCGTGAGCGACCCCGGCAGAGAGCTGGTGGCCGAAGCGGCAGTGCGCGGTGTGCGGATCGAGTCTGTTCCTGGGCCATCGGCGGTGACCACCGCACTGGCAGTATCGGGACTTCCAGCCGATGCTTTTCTGTTTCTCGGCTTTCTGCCACGCCGTCGTCGGGAGCGACAGGAGCGGTTGCGGGAGGCGGCCACCTACCCGCTCACGGTGACCCTGTTTGAGGCGCCCCACCGGGTGCGGGCGACGCTGGAGGACATAGCGCTCGTATTGGGGCGAACGGCCATTGGCAGTATGCCGCGAATTGACCCAAGCTGCACGAGGAGGTGTTTCGTGGCACTGCAAGCGAGGCGCTGGAGCATTTCGCGTCGCCACGCGGCGAGTTCGCGGTGGTGATAGCGGGGGCGGGCCCGGACCAAGCCTCTGAGCGCGACCTTGATAGCGAGGACAGTGATGTTCGCCGCTTTCTCCTGGACCGCATTGCCGGCGGAGTTCGGGGCCGCGAAGCGGTCGCCGACGCATCTGCGAGCTTCAACATTCCGAAGAACCGTGCTTACAGACTCTGGCTGGAGATTCGTGAAAAGGGAGAGAGTCAAGGGGACTGAATCGACGATTTATGGTCTGGTTCGCGGACTGATCTATCGTCAATTTCGATGATATACTTTCTGCTTGATTAGAAATCGCGATTAAAGAGAGAAAGCGACATTTTCGGGATTTTCAGCGCATCGCGCTCTCAAACACCCGGCGGACAAGGCAGGCAGGGCGTCTTCTATGGCTGGTGGCTGGTCATCATCACCGGCCTGGTAATGGTCATAGCTACCGTTCCCCTATTCCATGCTATGGCTGTATGGGCCATTGCGCTGGAGCGGCATTTCGGCTGGAGCAGAGCCCAACTGGGCTTGGCTCTCACGTTGACCCGCGTCGAAAGTGGTCTTATCGGCCCCCTCGAAGGATACTTGGTCGACCGCGTGGGCACCCGGTGGATGGTCCTTATCGGGCTGATCATCCTGGGCGGGGCCTGGATCTTTTTCTCCCGCGTCGAAAGCCTCTGGATGTTCTACGTGGCCTATGTCTTATGGCGGTGGGCCAGGGGCTGGGGAGCTGGATCCCCCTGATGACGATGCTGAACAAGTGGTTTTCCGGCGTCGGTCCTCGGCCATTGGCGGGCCAACGTTGTCAGCCGCTTCGGGGCACTGGCTGCTGGTTGCCCGCCATCGCGTGGACCGTGGGCGATGACTCCGGGACGCAGCGGATGCAGAACAGCGGCGCATCATCATGGGTTATGGGCATCCTGGTACTTGCAGGGCCGCTGGCCGGCTTGATTTCGCAACGACCACAGGACTACGGTCGACGGTGGCGGATGGGGAGCCGATACGTCCCGCCGCGGCCGCTGGGTCCGCCGGAAGCCAGGCCGCAAATCGCCAGCAGGACATGACCGCTGGCGAGGCCCTTCGCACTCCCGCCTTCTGGCTCATCGCCTTTGGCCACGGATTCACCTCGATGGTCATCCTGGCCATAATGACCCACCTCGGTCTGCTGATGGTGGACAAGGGCTACAGCGGCCAGGATGCAGGCTGGGTGGTCTCGGTCTACACCGGAGTCGCGATGGTCTTCCAGCTGGTGGGCGGGTACTCCGGAGACCGGCTGTCCAAGCGCGTGGCCCTGGCGTTCTTCACGTCGCTGCAGGCGGGCGGAGTGCTGGTGCTGGTGGTGGCGGATACCCTGCCGATGTTCTACCTCTTTGGAATCCTGTTCGGTGCCGGATTCGGAGGCCGCAACCCGCTGACTGTCGCGATCCGCGCCGACTATTTTGGGACCGCGTCGTTCGGCAAGATTCTGGGATTTTCCACGGTGCCTATGAATCTGCTGCTGTTGACTGCGTCGCCTTTCGCCGGGTGGATGTTTGACCAGCGCGGGAGCTATGACCTTGCCTTCCTGGTACTGGCGGGCCTGAACATGGTTGGCGCGCTGTGCTTCCTGGTTTCCGCGCGGCCGCGGCCTGTTCCGACCCCCCGCCCGTGCAACGTTTCCGGCGACAGAGTGATGGTCACCAGTTAACAGCAGTGGCCCGCTTCAGTTCGGAGGAGCTGCGAAGGCCCATCTCCGCTGCAATGAAAATGCGGAGAGTCTTTGTGAAACCCTCCGCTCGGTGTTCGCCGCTGAATCGACTGAGCGGGCTTAGGACTCGTCGATGGTGATGTTGTTGATCACCAAGCGCTCGGTGGGCTGCGAGGGCTCGCCGCCGCTGCTGCGGGTTACGGGGGAGTTCGCGAGGGTGTCAAGCACGTCTTCGCCGTCGGTGACCATCCCGAAAATAGTGTAGTTGGGAGGCAGTCCCACGTCGACGCCGTGGACGATGAAGAACTGACTGCCGTTTGTGTTGGGGCCAGCATTGGCCATTGCAAGTGTGCCGCGCACGTATTTGCGCTTGATGGGCTCGTCCTGGAAGCGATAGCCCGGCGCACCGGTGCCGTCTCCCTTGGGACAGCCACCCTGGATCATGAAATCCCTGATTACACGATGGAACTGGCTGTTTTCGTAGAAACCGTCCCGGGCCAAATGGACGAGGTTGTTCACCGTCAGGGGGGCTTCGGCAGAGAACAGCTCGACGATCATGGATCCTGCACTGGTATCAATGGTGGCGATGTAGATCTTGTCTTGTTCAATAGTTGTCGGCGGCGGGCTGGAGTATTGTTTAGGTGGCATCAGTAACCTCCGCAAGATAGCCCGACAATTGTAACACCAGAGGCCGCCGGCCCGTTCACGGCGTTTGCGATGGAGAGGTAGCTGTTGTGGCTTTCCTTGAACGCGAAAACGGCTCTCGTTCGGATGCGCAAAAGGAGAAGGCCCCGTCTATAGAAGGACGGGGCCCTTGATTTGGGCAGTTACCTCGGGCAGGCTGCCTACAGGAGGCCGCCCTGGTAGACCGACCTCTGCTTGTTGAAGACCTGGACACGTTGGCGGGCGACTTCCACGACAAAAACGCGGCCATCGTCGTCTACTTCGACGGCGATGGGGCCCTGGAAGGCCTTCTCCCGCTCTTCAAGCATGTTGGCGGCCAGACGCCCCTTGACGGCGATGGGGTCGATGAGGACCCGCTCGCGGCCCCAGGTGGACAGGGTGGCCTCGCCGAGCAACTTGGTGATGAAGTCTCCTTCTGCGTCGAAAATCTGCAGGCGGTCGTTCTTGTAGTCAGCGACGTAGATGATGCCATCCTTGTCGACGGCCACGCCGGTGGGGCGGTTGAACTCGCCGTCGCCGTCGCCGTGGGAGCCGAACTGCATCAGGAAGGTGCCGTCGGGAGCGAACTTCTGGATGCGGTCGTTGCGCCAGTCGGCAACGTAAACGTCGCCGTTTGCGGTCTATCTCGATGCCCCACGGATAGCTGAACTCGCCGGGGCCGCTGCCTTCGGAGCCCCAGGAGAACTGGAACTTGCCGTCCTTGGTGAACACCTGCACCCTGTGGTTGTAGCTGTCGACCAGGTAGAGGTTGTCGTCCTTGTCGAAAGCGAGGCCAGCGGGCTTGTTTATCTCGCCTTCGCCGGAGCCCACGGTACCCCACATTTCAGTCCAGCCCTGGCCGGGCTTGTAGATGGAGACCCGCTGCAGCCACTCGTCGGACACGTAGGTGTTGCCCTCGCTGTCAAGGGCGACGGAGGTGGGCCACATGAAGCTACCGTTGGGGGTGGTGGCGGGGTCGGCCTCTTCCGGCGGGACCTTCTGCCCGTAGTCCTCGATGAACTCTTCGTCAACCGTGAAAACGGTGACGCGCTTGCAGGGGAAGAAGGCGGGCGTTTCGGAGCCGCGGCTGAGCACATAGAGGCGGTTCTCCGGGTCGCGGGTGATGGCCACCGGCATAAAGAACCCATTTCCGCTGCGAACTTCCTGGCGCCCGATGGTATGGCTGTACTGGAAGGTAATCGGAGCAATCTGCGTAACCATGCTTACCTCTTAAGCAGAGTGGATTCCCGCGAACGCGGGAATGTCGAACCCTGAATCGATTTTAAGGGCGCAGAAAGCAGGGAGCCGAATTCAAGACTCTCCATTATCTCTGCGCCCTCAGACCTTGCGCTTGTGATTTACTTGATGAAGTTGAACTGCTCGTAGGTGTTGCCGAGAATGGCCTTGTCGTCCAGGCCCATCCACTTGTCCAGCAATTCGGCGTAGGTGCTCCGGAAGTCATTGTTCCAGTGGAGATCGCCCTCGTCCAGCTTGGACGGTTCCAGAGACGGATACGTACCATAGGTGCCGCCCTGGACGCCGTCGCCCATGACGAAGGCCACGCTGCCCGAGCCGTGGTCGGTGCCGGAGCCGTTGTCCTGCACGCGGCGACCGAACTCAGAGAACATGAGGATTACGACTTCCTGGCTGGAGTCGTGCTCCTTCAGGTCATCGTACAGGTCGACGGTGGCGGTTGTGACATCTTCCCACAGCTTGGCTAAGGAGGCGTTCTGGTTGGCGTGGGTGTCAAAGGTGCCCGGGTTCACGCCGGTGTAGATGATGCGGGTGCCGAAATCGGCCAGGTGCACCTGGGCGATGCTCTTGCACCACTGAGCGAACATTCCGCCGCCGTATTCCACCGTGGAGGTGTAGTTGTCGGGAGCGGTGTTCAGGATGTCGGCGCCCTTGAGTGCGTCCAGACCGGTCTGGGACAGGTAGTCGTTGGCCGGGCCGGTGCCGATCAGAGGAGAGTACATCTTGGAGAAGATGTCCAAGGCCTCCATGCGCTGGTCTTCGCCATCGATGCCGGTCAGCACGCCGTATGAGCTCAGGTCACCGACGGAGGCGACCGAGACGTTGGGGGCCGACAGGGCACGGGGCAGGCCGCGACCAAAGTTCACAGCGGTCAAAACGTTTTCGCGGTTGGGGTCAAGCTCTCGGATGGCCTTGCCCAGCCAACCCTCGGTGATTATCTTGGTCGGCTCCGCGGTGTGCCAGATGTCCAGGGAGCGGAAGTGGGAGCGATTCGGGGTTGGGTACCCGATTCCCTGGATTACCGCAACTTTGCCCTGGTCGTAAAGGCCCTTGATCGGATACATCGACGGATGGAAGCCAACCTCGTCGTTGATGTGGAGCACATCTGCGGGGTCAATGCTCACCGCCTGGCGATAGTCGCTGTAATGCGGGTCATTGTAGGGAATGACGGTGTTGAGGGCATCGTAGGCGCCCGTCATCTGGAGGACCACCAGGACCCGATCTTTCTTGTTAGTCGTCATGTCCGTTTGCCGTCTCCTTCTCTTTTACTGGTTCGTGCCGAGGAGAGAGAACGCTTTCCCTCCTGATTCCCGCTCCTCACTTGTCCACTAAATGACCTAGGCGTACAGGTATTCCTTGGTGGAGGCGATGAGTTGCAGCATTTCGCCGACTTCCTGGGGGAATTCGGCCGTGTCGGTGCGGACGACATCGTCCTTGGCGGCGCGTGTCATCAGCATGCGCCGGCTTTCATCCGACAGCTCGTAGTGCCCTAGGTATTGCAGGCATCCGTCCACCAATTCCGCAGGGGTGATCGCCGGCCCGGTGTCTGCCAGTTTCTCAACGATGTCCTGGATTCCCGGGAACTTGGTGTCGCCCAGGAAATCGGCGGTGAAGTTGATGCGGTGCACCAAAGTGCCGCCGTCGATCCACTCCCTGCCGGTGTGCCAGCCTTCGACGGAGGGCGGATTCAGAAGCTCCTGGCCCATGTACTTCATCTCGTCGAAGATGAACTCGAAGCCGGGCTTGGGCTGGGTCCAGTCGCCCACCATCCGAAGGGTTCCAATGACCGTCTCCACCGGGCTCTTGATGCGGCGGAAGCGGGCGTTCTTGAAGGCGTCGGAGCTAAACAGGACCTTCAGCATCGCACCGATGTTGTATCCGGAGCGGTAGTACTCCTCTTCCAGCATCTCGATGGTCACCGGGTCCTGGGGCGGCGTCTCCATCCACGACGGCACGCCGGGCTCGTCGGCGATGAAGTAGCTATACAGGTGTCGGGAGATGAACCGGGCGGTGGCGGGTCTGCTTCACGATGATGTCGATGATGTCTTCGCCGTTGAAGCGGCCGGTCTCACCGAGGAAGGTCTTCTCACCGTCGTCATGGTCTTCAGGCACATAGAGGAATTTGGCGGAGTAACGGCCATAGGGCTGGCCGGGGACGGGGTTGGTGATGGTCCAGCCGGTAAAGGCTCGGGCACACTCCTTGACGTCGTCCTCGGTGTAGTTGAATTCGCCGTCCTTACCAACGCCCAAGGAGAACAGCTCCAGCAGTTCCCGTCCATAGTTCTCGTTGATGGACTCCTTGTGGCTGAGGCAGTTGTCTAGGAAGAAAATCATCGCGGGGTCTTTGGAAATCTCTATCAGCAGGTGGGGTCTTGGTCTCATCAGCCGGTCGGAACTGCCCATTCCATTCTTGCGGAACATTTCCAACTGGTCGTAGTGGGTCGGGTAGCACTGCACCTTGCTGTCGGCAGTGCAGAAGATGCTGTGCCAGAACAGCACTATCTTCTCTTCGAGCTGTGCCCTGGAATTGATCAGCCGCCAGGCGAAGTATTCCGGCACGCCGCGAGTGAAGTGGCTCCACTCTATGAAGCAGCGTTCTGTCAGATCAAGGTCGAGTCCGTTGGAGTTCTTATCGGGATTGAGCAACTCGTCTACAGTCGCTTCATATCCCTTCTGCGCCCGCTCCACAAATTCGTCGTATCGAGCGCCGAAACCGGCCCGCCGCATAAGGTGGGCCATAAGGGCCATATCTTGTGTAGTTACCTGGTCTGCCATAGGGTTTTCCACCTCCAGATTGCGGCACTAAAAATCCACGGTAGACTAACATTTTGTGGTCCTAACTTCGGCAACCCGCAAGAAGCTCGCAGGCAATCGCAGTCTTATACGCGGACTGCCCTATGAGTCGTCATTCCCCGCGCAGGCGGATCGCAACGTCTACTCTCTCGCCCTCGGACCGAGGAGGCACTGCCACTCCCACTCCACGCATTCATACAATTTGTGTGCTGAGCATAAGACAGAGGGCGATTGGCCCTGCTTCGACTGACTGCAGGCACGATGTGTCGGACGCCAGTCGTAGTGCGTCACGCAGCGAGAGCCGACCGTGCGTCGTCATTCGCCGCGCAGGCCTGTCAGGAATCGAAACCCCGTCTAACTCTCGCACGCGGACCTGCGAAGATGCACTGCACTCCGCTCTCCATCCGCGCATCAGACCAATTTTTTGTGCTGAGCAATAAGACGCGATTGCCTGGCAACGACTGGGCAAGCCGGGGTGCAGCGTTTCCGAATTGGGTATACTGCCAGGCCTGGAGTCGATGCTCCGTGGAGCGGTCGACCTGAATCGTGGCCTCTCGGAGTCGGACGGGACCCGAAGTCCGGTACTCTGGAGCCTCCGGCCCAACATCCCCGTGCCGTCTGTCGGCTATCTCCCCTGGCTACTGACAAATGCCCCTTGCCAAGCCTCATGACACCTCTCTACTATCAAATACGGCAGTCCCGCGTGCCGGTAAATCCAACCCTGACTAACGGGTCGATCGCATATGTCCAAGGCAGGCACCGCAAGCCGTCCCACAGCCGTATGTCTCACCAGCGCGCTACTGTCGATCTGGCCCAGGCCTGATAAGGGCCGGAACCGCGGAAATGGC